TCCAGTGACAGTTTAACTTTCACCCGGGACAAACTTGACCTTCACTGGTTGGGTTTTTATTGGCGGTCAAGCTGTAGATCCTGGCTACACAGGAGTTGCAGCGGTGGGAAGGAGAGGTGGGAATAGAACCTACGACAGGGATGGCGAACCTTCAAGTATCAACGTGCCACTATTCTAAAAAAATGTTTGAAGTAATCATAGACACGTGCCATTAAATTAACACCTAATGCTATCAAGTGCGTGAGTGAGCACCACTGGTGAGTGACACGACCTTACTCTACAGTGGCACTAACTGATGACGGCAAATACGATAGCTCATAATCAAAACACATTATTTACTATTGAATTACTGAATTTGTGATTGGTGGCGTGCCATTGGTTCGCCAACCCTGACTACGGGTATAAAAATTGACACTAAAGGCCTACCGAAATAAACTACATTGTCATATCGGACTCTAATGACGCGTATTGTACGATTCCTATTGAAGGTGCGTCAATAATAGTAGCATTAGTTGGTACATTGTGCAACCACAAACCACCGTCCTGAATTTACCATACAATGCTCATTTAATCTATTCTGTCTATAGATTAGATCATGTCCAATGAGTAACACGCGCTCTATTTATAAATGCTGTTTGAAGCTATTATTCATTAATCAAAGAGAAATCATGGTCCATGATTCATTCTAAATCTCATCAATTCATGGAATTTGATGAGATTTAGAATTACCTTTGTACCTACAATAATTACACGGTCTGAAGGTATTAGGACCATTCTCTAATTTATAAATTCTACTACTGATAAATAATGAACATCATAATGAAGTTATTTTCATTGATAGAGGTTTTAAAAGTTAATAAAATGACCACGGGCTTCTGGCATTTCAAATTCATTAACTCTTTTATATCGCATGTATGTAGGCAGTTGCATCCCAACTAGAACACTGAATAATAAACAAAGGGATTCCAATTCTTTAGTCAGAATGACGCAAATTTACGGATATTCGCGGAGAAACGAATGCGAAGACAGCGCGGAATAACCTATTTATATGCATGGCTACATAATAACTTTGTTTTCGTCAAGTAAGTGATCTGTCACGAACTTACGAACTCACAACTTCTTACTACTTCTAACATAAACGAATTTATCGATATTTTCAACTCTTTCACTGTCCTTGATTTCCGTGTCATTGATTCGTGTTAATACAGAAAATTAACTAATGAACTGTTATATATGAAAAACAAAAGACGTCGGTGAATTTAATGCAAGTTACTTTAATGTAAAAGAAAAACTTTGCTATGATGATTTTTTTTTCAGTTGTCAGAAAGTGGGTTTAATCCAGTTTAAAAGATCTGAATCAAACTTAAATAGGAAGAAACATTGCAATTGAAATAAAAGCTTGAATATGAAAATGAAAATATTCTTTTGACTCAATATTTCGCATTGACTTTGTAAATAAATTTACGTTCGATGTTTTACTTTTTATTCTTTTTCCGGGTCCTGTAAAGAATAAAATATTAAAAACAGAATTATGAGCGACTGGCTCGCCTATTAAAAGGCACTTGTTCCCAATAAGGGCACAGCAAAAATCTCGAGCAAGCGCGACAAGAGGCCCCGGCTATTACGCCTTAATGGAGCTTTATCGATGAGTTTGCCTGTTTTTTATTTATTTATTATAGACTACAATGAAAAGTCATTATTAATAAATGTTTTGTATAATGTAGGTACTCGTACTTGTATCACAGTTGACACAAGCAACATTTACAATGTTTTTAGCTCTTCTTGCTTATCCCATAATATCCAGAACTATTTAGGTCTCATTTTTATGTCATTTGGCATATTTACAGCTTTTATATAGGCATCGCAGAGAACATTTAACATTGGATCGGTTTCGTACCTCTGGGCATATTATGTGGGTTATGCATTGTTTTAATTTTATAGTAGATTATAAGTAAACGTTTTTAAACAAAAAATATAATGTCTTACTAGGTATTTTGATTATGGAAGCCAAAACTGTTACATGTCTAGCTTTGGTAATAAAAGTTATAAACTATCTAGGTAGATAAGTGGATAATGTTAAGACAACTAATTAGATTGTGTACAGTTTACACAACTTTAACGTGTTTCAGCAGCTAACAAACATTATACAGAAACTATGAAATTTATAAAAGGTTACCTTATCATAATAAAGGGTTTGGTTCTTATAAATTACCGACAGAAAACCTAATATTAAACAATCCCACACCTACAAGTACATTATTGTTTATACAGGAAAAAGGAAAATAAAAACCAACGTAAACCGCTCTTATTTATTGCGTCAGAATTGAGTGTGTTGATCTACTTACTTTCATAATTAGTGAACCACCTTGGCAACCCTTAGGCTGAATGCACAATCTTGAAAAACATCAAAAATCTGTCAAACTCCATACAAAAAACACCGTTTATCGTCATAGTTACCATTATAGTTAGATGGTGCAACTCAGCCTTAAAGTACTTATGAAAGGTTTGGTGCTATCACGTAATGCTTTGTTTATTGCGAGAACGCCTCTGGTAATATTGACAACAGGTGCGCTATATTAATGTTCTTCTGGACGGAAAATGGACGATGGACAGTGTGAGACGAGAGATATTGCTTTTTTTCCACATAAACGTGGGGTAACGCCCGTATTCACAAACGATGCTTGCTTATGTGAAGCAGCAAATCGAACGCACAGCGTTGAATAGAGCTCTGTGAGTGTTCGTGTGTCACCCTGTGCGTCCACGCGGACTTTGAGACCTCATAGTAATGTTTGTGAAAACGGGCGTAAATGTTTTTATAGAGAGTAGAGAGTCCATATTAGAGCTGTAATTGGACTTCTAGGAACTACAATCCACTGGCTATGTTTTTTTAACCGCACTAAGGGAAATCCTCTGATATATTAACCAAAACCTCGCGTCGATACTTGATGTCCTGTCAGGTAACGTAGTGACCACTAAATGTCCGGCTTGTAAAACCAGCCAATTAAATTTTACCTATTGTTTTGCGCAATACGCTCAGTCAGTGTCACTGATCCGATCCGATAAGGAGAGTAGATTTAATATCAACAATGGTAGATTAAGGGCCGATTTACCCTCAATCGGGGTTTCAGATAGCTTTTAACTGAAGAATAAACTTGTCATTTTGATATATTTGTCATACTGAAACTGTCAATGTGCCAAACTTATTCTTCAGTTAAAAGTTATTCGACGATTGGAAAATCAGCCCTAAATTGTTGTAACTAAATCCAAGCTACGAAATTCGTAGCATCGTAGCACCGTAGCACTACTTATCTTATGCAATGAAAATTCATCCTGCGTCTTTCAGTGATGATAAAACCGGACTAAAACCAGTACCATAATAACGTTAAAGACGTGTTAGCAAAAAAAGTTTAGCATTGCTTAAGTCGTGCTTAATTAATATAACCGTATAATAATATGAACACACGACACTAAACACTTTTGGGTCTTATACAGTTGTAATAGGAGCAAAGGAACAAAAGTGAGTACGAGTAGTCTGATTGTTATCGTCTGACATAATTTTACTCATCTTCCCCTTATTTCATTACAAATGTACCTACCAAACATTTAACCGCCTCTATGGTAAAACAGTCATCTAGTAGTTAAGCTAGCAATATCAAGCGTGGTGAGATTTTTTTTAAATCTGTCTGGAAGAATTTATATAGCATAAGCATTACACTTACCAACAACTCGCATGTAAGCGCTCTTGTACACCGTGTGGAAGAACGGCGCGTCGGCGGAGACTTCGCAGCGGTAGCGGCCGCTGAGCCCCCTCGTGGCGCCTCGTAGCACTACCTGCTGCGCGCCCGAACGCGATACCTGCGAAGAATACACATTATTTATTATTGCAATTTTATAATAAAGTATTGTATATCAGTCTCGAAGTTAACGCATAAGAAACCGCATTTAATGCCAGTATAGTAAACGCAGATAGATTGTTATTATAAAGGCGCACTTAATCCAACTACAATAAGTTTCCATAGTTTTAAACTTGCTAGGTATATACACAACGAAAAATGCCTTGGTAAATTTAGGGAACTAAATTCCTGGTACCCCANGTTTTACAAAGATAATACGATGGAAAATAATACAAAGTAATAAAAACCACCGGTTATAGGGGCATTTTTTTGAGAAATTTATAAAATAACCAAAAAAACACGAATTTTTAAGCAGTTTTTTTTCAAAAAGTATCATTTTTTCATATTTGTTGGATTTTTTTGTGTATTCTAAGTATTTTTTTAGTATCGCCTGTTATTTAGCATTATTATTGTTTTTATTTTATCAGGATATACCGCTTAGTTTAAAAGTTATTACGTTTTCTTTACAATAAGTAATTTGAAGAAAAAAAAATCTATAAAAAATTAAAAAAAAAACTCAAAAATTTTTTGACCTCTTTTTTGTCGATAAAAATTGGTCTAGTTTCATCTATTTTCATATGTACACTTTAACGTGACTTACACTGTATTAACCAAAACCTCGCGTCGATACTTGATGTCCTGTCACGTAACGTAGTGACCACTAAATGTCCAGCTTGTAAAACCAGCCAATTAAATTTACCTATTATTTTGCGCAATAAGCTCAGTCAGTTTCACTGATCCGATCCAATAAGGAGAGTGGATTTAATATCAACAATTTAATCTACTAAAATTGTTGAAATTAAATCCACGCTACGACATTCGTAGCATCGTAGCACTATCTTATGCAATAAAAATCCATCTTCGCGTCTTACGGTGATGATGATATTACCAGACTTGACTAAAGGTACCATAATTCGAAAGCATATGTGAAAAATGTTTTAGCATTATATTAGATGACTTAAAGATTAACTTATTTGTTGAACAGCTTAAGAAGGTACAGTTAAGGCCGAAAAAAATTTTTTTATCCACAATGAGGAAAGTTCTGATGATGAAGTGAGCTCATCTTTAAAAAATCTCTCTGGAATAATTGATATTCACTACACTTACCAACAACTCGCATGTAAGCGCTCTTGTACACCGTGTGGAAGAACGGCGCGTCGGCGGAGACTTCACAGCGGTAGCGGCCGCTGAGCCCCCTCGTGGCGCCTCGTAGCACTACCTGCTGCGCGCCCGAACGCGATACCTGCGAAGAATACACATTATTTATTATTGCAATTTTATAATAAAATATTGTATATCAGTATCGAAGTTAACGCATACGAAACCGCATTTAATGCCAGTATAGTAAACGCAGATAGATTGTTATTATAAAGGCGCACTTAATCCAACTACAATAAGTTTCCATAGTTTTACTTGCTATGCACAACGAAAAATGCCTTGGTGAATTTAGGGAACTAAATTCCTGGTACCCCAAGGTATTTTGGATTTTTATTATGTAAGCTATACTATTCTTTTAATATATAAAAGCCATTGGAATTCGTTCTCTATTATATTATTGACAAAGCCATTTTTGAAAGTCACTACTCTGCAACCAGATATTAGGAAAATCATTTTTATGTTCGGTAAAGCCTTTGTTCGTTCGTTCTTTCCTGTTCTTATCTTTCCAATTTTACTTTGGTGAAATTCAATGCTATAGATGACCACCTGGCCTAGTGGAACTCTTATCAGATTATGACGTGAGTTGCCGTCATGGGTTCGAATATCGTCGGGGGAAAATTATCTAGTATTTATACCCAGAGTTTTATGTTTGTAGTGTAGTTTATGTAATATTACCTATTTAAGGATTTATTCAACATCTAGAAGCTGCAGTAAATTGGGTGCGATGGTGGATAAAACACTTATTATTACTTATTACCGAGTTTACGGTTTAGGTCGTTACGGTACCATATCGGTGCCGGAGCGGCTTAAAAACACTCGCAAATATTTTCTCCAAGCCAATTTATCATTGATTACAGGTGGTAGTCGCTGCTCATGCGTAATTTATACGTAAGCCGCATAATCCCATTACAAGGAGACGTGTGCACTTTACCGTACGCAGCTGCTAGCGACTCAAATTGAGCTAAAAGCTTCGATCCATCTTACGGAAAGTCGGTCCACTTTGAGAAACCTCCGAACTAAATCATGGCGCCCGTTTCAAGACGCCTGACCCGATTTTCAAGGACTCGCTGCGAACGGATCCGAGGGTGGTTTGACTTATCCCGATGTAAAGTTTGAGTGTTCGTTATTCTCTGAAAGGGTTTTTAATGTATTATTTTGGCACAATGTTATAGCTCCGCGGTGGCGACGTGCCAGCAGCTAAAGGTTTAACGTGCCCGCCCGACGAGGTTCTTAAGTGATTTTTTGCTGCGCTCTCCACGAAGGCAGTTTAACGAACTAGCAAGATGTCGCAGAGCCATTGACCCATATATAATCACAGTTATGATGTTGTTTATGGTCGCGCTTAAGCGGGCCATTTGCGTGAGAAATATTGTTTCTTTCCACTCCAGCGTTTACGTCTAAGTTAATGACGGAGGTGAGAGTTTACTCGCATACTTTCAATGGCCACTCTCGTTGTTGAAAACGAAACGACTTTGCAGATAAGCTAAGTTAATTCGTACTTTGTAATTTAGTTTCCCTTTTAGCTGTAATAAAGGCGATACCAATCTGTCTTTTAAATTCTCAAAGTTGTTGGACGAGGACAAAAGGAAACATTAAAGCGCTGAAAGTAATTTCAAAGCAGGTGTTTCGAGATATGAAAACAGTATACAGGAATATTTGTAGTGTTGATGGATTGCTCTATTAAAATTGTGAGCCTGGGAAGGTGATCTATCATTGAACTATTTATCATTCAGCAGTCATTACTCTTATCGAGTGGCAAGCCTGTCGTTAATCACCAACTCTCGGTCGTAGAACACTTAAGATTATTCGCGATCTTTCAAATCGATGGAAATTACTCCAAAGTACTTTAATAATAAATCCTTTCGATATAATCGATGAGGTAAGTTTCAGATTTCGTCTGATTTCATTTACCTGATTTTGAATAGACTAACTTTACCGATTTAATGGAGTCAAATACATGTATAAGTACATCTACACTACTATACGTAAATAAAATAATGTGTTATTGATTGATTGCATCTTAAAGGTTTTATCAGTCTTTTCATGCCTAGATTTTGATTGCTAACGTTTTTGTTACCTAAAATACAGCCTGCACAAACATGAAAGCCATTTTGCGAAGTTATCCAGCCTCGTTTACGAGTTGTCTGTAGCATACAAATGATATTGCGAGTGCTAATGAAATTAATTAGCAATTACGGTAACATTTTGGATTTACATCAAATTACATTTCGTTTTTACGCTTGACATATTAAAGTACCTAAAGAAATCAACCTGATTGTGAAATATTTAATTTGAATGAATGTTGCGTACTTAATATCGTAGGTACAACTTTTGTTGAAGAGTTTACAATGCAATTCGCACATTCACAATGTTGTGTGTCATAACAACAAGAATTACCGATAAATTCCATTTGAATATTTGTTTAATCATTTGTTTGTCATTACATTGTTATTGCTTACCCAATTTTGATAGTTACATTAGCATACAGACAACATTTTCGGTTTTGCTGTGAAATCTGATGGAATCCCAGGGGAGTAGCACATTATGGAATTATTAGTTCAGTGTTATTAGGTAAACATTCCCTCTTCCAATAACAATTGTTGTGTATTTTATGTAACACATTGTTTAGGAATAGATTAGCTTTATCCATTATCAAATAAAATTATTCCCGCCGGGTCCATGAGATTTTAAAAATTATTATACTAAGAAAATGATTTTTTATTTTTAATTTCGTGAAACTCGTGGACCCGTTGGGAATCAAAGTATAAACTTATTTTTTTTAAACCTTGGGCTGTGGACCTTTGTGAATAACACCCGTATTCGCAAACGATGCTTGATTAAGTGTTGCACGAGTGATGCATCAAATTGAACGCACAGCGTTGAATAGAGCTCTGTGATTGGTTCGTGCGTCCACGCGCATTATGAGAGCTCATAGTAATATTTGTGAATACGGGCGTAAATCATCTTGAGATATACCTACTGAATATAAATAGCTAATCAATTTTTAAAGCTGATTCTCTAACAAAAAATGTGCGCCATTGATTGCAGTCAACTACCGTGACTAGCGCTCTATTCTCACTTTATCATCAAAAGGATATCGAATCTAAAGGAAATAACGACTTGCATTTAATAGCATTATCTTACAGTAATTCATTTAAGATTGTTATCACGAATATTGACTTTTGATTTACCTTGACAGTTTTCAAGGGAAGTTTTTTACTTAAAGTTATCATTGATCTTTGAATAACCCAAATCATTTTAAATATCTCTAATATCCCAGTGACATTCACAGTCGTTACCAATAACAGAACTGAATTTAGCGAATATATGCACACCTGGCATAATACTGAAGTCAAAGCAAAATGATCCAATATCAGTTTCACACTATGATATTCATACACTATTCTTGGAAGTAGCACGTTGTCTAATAACACAAAATTACTGCGAATCGAACATAATAGGGACAGGTTATTATCAATGGACAATTTAAGCGCCCTTTCAGACTTAGCAAAAATCACGTATTTGGTTCCAAAAACTTCGTTCGTTCGTTCGTTTCAGCCAAATGACGTCCACTGCTGGACAAAGGCCTCCTCCAAGGTTTTCCACTCCAATCCAAATACTTACGTCCACGCTAATTCCAGTCTGCGAGAAGACCCTAGTGTTGGGCAGCTCTTTTGGCACGAATCTGAAGAACTCCTGCGCGCCGTGGTACCACTTGACGGTGTACAGCGCCTCGCCCGTGTCCAGCGACCAGCGGCAGCCGAGGGTGGCGCTCGCGCCGATCCCGACCGCGTCTGGCACGCTTAGCTGGATGTCCCGGAGGCCAAGCACACCTGTTAAGGAAAATAGCTTTTAATATTTAGCCAAAAAGGTACAATTTGCTACCAACATAATCATAAGGTAATCGTGTTCTTGTAGTGGCGATCAAATGACATAATGATTAAATGACCGATTCAGCCTGTTTCTGTTTAATTATTTGTATAGTAGGTATCAATTACAAAACATTATTGAAAGGCTTGTTGCTCCTCGAAAGTTTAAATCTAGTCAGACTACAATAGATAGGTATTGTGAACTCGAAATAAGCCTGCAGGTCTTAAATTGTGAAACTAGATGGCCATTCTATAGAAAAGTTCATAATGTCATTGGAACCGCCGAGGCTATCTATAAATCACTAGACTTTGGGCTTAAAGCTTTCATTGTAAGCGAGGATCTGGATCGCAATCGTAGTTTCGTAATCCCTCTCGCGAAAATCTGCCTAAATCTTTCCTTCGACTAACAAAAGAAATTACATTTTGTCTTTTCATGGGTACTGTTCCGAGGACGGAAATACATTGAATATTCTATGTGCACTCTAAAAATAATAACAAATTGGTAAATATTATTGCATTACAGTCTCAGAGCTTTCCCTAAGGATGTGGGGTATTTTGTTCCGTCTGCGTAGTATTATTTAGTTTCTACTGATCCCGTGGAAAATGTATTGTGAGCTTTGTAACGTTTCAAGTTTTCCCAGGGCAAATCTTTAGCTTTTATATATTTGTGCATACATCCAGGTGAAGTATGTACGTGAAGACCTCTACTTGTAGTAAATGTGTTTAAACAATAATAATAACAAAATATATAAAGTTGTAAATATTATTTTGTGGTCTTTCTATTGGGTCAAATTAATAAATAGCAGACTTACTTATTATTCATAAAATTATGTGTAATGAATAATAAGAATAATATTCAGTGTAATTGCAAAGTTTTGTAGCAAATATTTTACATTATTACAGGTACACCAATTCAACCTGGTAAAATTATTACAATATCAGTTACACCAATATTGTGAAGGAAATCTGAAAAGTTTACACCTGAAAATTTCCATGTAATTGTATTTTTTTAAAGCTAGAATTTTTTACGTATTCCTTTCGAAAGAGCAAGAAAAACTAAGAAAAACTGTATATTTAACTCAAAAACCGTATTTTATCAGTTACCCCAAGTGAACCTGCAACTGACGTTCACGGAAGTGCAGTGACGTCGTTTAGTAATAAAGACTAGGTACCTATACCTACCTACAACTTCTGTATATTGTTAAAATCCGAAATTCCGAATGGTTTAAGACAAAACACAAAATGAACAAGTTTCTTTTTAGGATCTCTGAAACTTTCCATCGAATTTTCTTTGTTAAATATTGACTTAATTAAATGCTTTTATACAAAAAAACACAGTTTTAATTGTAATTAGGAAAATTATGATTTAAGATAAGGAAAAGTGACGTAATACACTCGTAAATAACAAAGGTCGCCGCCCGAATATAAAAGGTCACCTATAAAGATAACAGCGGGGAAGCGTTTTCATCTCGTCTAAAGAAGCAGAATAATTATGGTGTATTTTGCCCATTATCTGATTCGGCTCGTCGCTTGACAGATTATGAAACGACACTGAATGATGAATCTGCACTCAAAAACCACAGCGTAATTCGAGGATATTCCACGTAATTTTAATAGTGACCATTTTAATTGAAAACAGATTACAATATAATTAACTGGGTAGGTAGTTACCTAAGTATGTACTCACATCCACAGACTCGTTTGCAAGGGCCAGAAATAAATCATGAAACGTAAATATTATGAAAATAGAAATAATTTTCTTTCCACGAATAAGTATGGTAACCCAGAGTTGAAATGGAAATGAGTAAGGAAATACTTGTTTCATAGAGCCCAACTCGAAGTTGTACGTCTGCAAATCCATGCGGAAAGTATTAATGAATTCGAAGTCAACGGAAAATCTTTAAAACAGGAAAAAGTTTATCTTATACAAAGTCCACAAACTTTAAAGCGGCTAATTTCAGATCCACAATTAATTAAAAAGTCATCCAACAAGGGCAGAGTCATCGATTGGCCTCGCCTCCAGTCTGCTCGTTCCAGCAAACCACATTACGAAGCGTACTTAGACAAATAAAAAGAAAACATTTATTTGTGAGAACGTACCAACCACCCCCGAGAAGCTTTATTCTTGTAGGTACTTTTTTCTCGTGCAGGTAAGTTTGCGGTCGAGTCGAAGCGGTCCGCTGAGCAAAATTCCAGACCGACCGACGTAACTAATCAAATCTTGGCCTTCAGCTACACTAAAGGTGGTCGGAATACATAAATCAAGTGAATGGTAGGGTAAACCAGAGAGTGATTGCCCACTTGTAGTGATTGCCCGCTTTAAGATTAATATTGTCAGGAGCTGACTTTAAATCACTCTAGTTAGATTTTAATTTACTAAGTAGATGGCTCCGAGAACAATGTACAGTAGATTTAANTGATGCGGAATTCGTTTCGCCGGTGCCCTCTGTTTAAATAAGAATAATATGTGTTTATTTCGTATACATGATACGTGGAAATTTGGCTTTAACGAACAGTCGTTGATTAAATGCATGTTTTCTTTATTAAACTCCTACTTACATCGTGTAGTTAATAGAGGGAACATTTTAATTTTCCGCACACTTATCACTTTTAGACTAAGTAGTAAAAACCCAATAGTGTTTTTTGTTTGGCATATTACTTTGTTAAATATCTGCCTAGGTCTACAACTATATCGTAACTGGGTCAGTTATTTTTTGCCTATTTAGGATCCATGGATTTCATTATAATTATTGATTGGGTCGGCTCGTATCAGTTTGTAACAATTTGGCTAAGGCAAATCACTTGGAGGCTCAATAAATTCGTTAGCCATTAGTACAACAGTGATAAAAGTGTACAGATAGAAAACCATATTTCGACAATAAGCTTTTACCAATAAACTATGTGCAAATTATTTTTCTTTATGAAAGGGCAATGAATCAAAAAGGTTGCCGATCGCTAAATGACGTCACTGTTCATCCATTCGTACTTTTCCAAAGCTTTTGTGATTCATCCAGTTTTACTATACCTAGTACTTATTTGGTAAAAACATTAGTATGTCCGTAATCTTACTAACAAAGCTACTTGATTACTCGTCCCTTTTTATTACGGGCATTAAAAACCTCCGGCTTAGTAACCAAGGAATGGACTTCCAAACTTTGTCATTCAATTCATTCTTTATTCCAACCCTTTTCCGCAATAAATTTATTCCAAAAAATAGGTTTATGGCCCGGAATTCCCGTCTCATCAACAAAACCGCTGTCGTAGCCTGGTTACTTAATTTCCAAATAGATTTCTCTGAGCCCGCCATAAATGTCAAGAAGGTAATAATCCAGTAAAACTTCAGAAGTTGGAATGAATGACTTGGATTGCCAGTGCAGTTGGGCGCCGAGCGAGCGGAGTCGAAGCTATCGGAACTGCGGAACCTTTTACAGCGTCTCTCTGAACGAATCGACGCACTCAATTGCATCTAATTCAACGAAATATACCTAATACTAAGTAAGTATAACTTTTTCTCCATTCTTAGTAGCCGCAATGTTGGCTGATCAAGATCCCGATTGTTTCTTCTGAGTCGTTCGTTCTGACGGAGGCGCGAGCGCTGCGGCCCAGCGCTGGGCGGCTTCTCCGCCCTAGACCCATGTATAATAAATGAATGGTCCTGCGTGTTCCGAACCAATAATTTCAGCGATGGCCGTGCGGAGAGAGATTGGCACTTTACAGAATTTTTCGAGAGCAGCGCGGTCTTCAGGGAATTCCAATAATCAGCTTTACTTAAGGGATTGGATTCGAAAACTCAATTGTATCCGGAGTGATTTTAATAATTCATCACTTCTGTACGGATACTCCGTCTCACAAGATGAAGGACCTGATTGAGAAACGTACTAACTGATCAATATAATAAAAACGTGCTTCAAAGAATATTTGATGGGTTTCATTATGCTTTAATACGAACGTATTTGCCTCCTTGTGATTGCTGTCTTTGTATCCAATATTCGTAAATCTCTGATCTTGTCGAGAGATGAAAAAATATGATAATACCTAATCTCATATTGACTTTAAAATGAAAAAAGACGAAATTTTTGCAGAAAATTACTCTGACGAATTGAAAATTGATACAGACTGTATGTTGTTTCTTTAATTATAGGGGAAAAGTCCCACCTCCCATGTCACACTAAAGTATGGCCAAAATCAAATTGATCGCCAATAAAACTTAATTTAGAAAATTATAAAAAGCCAGTCTTACAGAATAGCATGCGCAAAAAAATAAAAAAGAAGAAAGTAGGAGGATCTACAAACAAAGGTATAGAGAGGTCGGTATTTTACTATGTACAGCTACACAATAATCTACAATGTACATGGATCTTGAAAAGAGAAGTTGGTATTTCAATAGTAGTATGGTATGTGTGATACTTACTGCCACCGAGCCACAGGATAATGGCTGCCAGCTGCGGCGCCATGGCCGCGCGCGGACCGAGCCCGCCCGTCATGTCACCACCGCCTCCTGCCTCTCGCGCGCCTTCCTTACATCCTCCCACATTTTTAAACCCACAATCCAAACATTACACTCTCCCGCCACAACCAATTTAAACTACAGCCGCGATTCGTGCAGCCCGCACTTCACCATCGCGCTCAAGTGACCATGGAACCAATCTGAAACAACGATACCTTTATTTAGCAAAATTACACGATCGCAACTTTGCCAATTTTCATTCATTGAGTATACAGATCGTTTATTTTGATTAGAAGTTACCAACTGTACGAAACTACAAACTGAGCAGAGCGGACCGGGGAACTTCTACAGCGGCGCGATTCGGACACGGAATACCTATTAGGTGGCAACGACGCTAAGTCATAGATTAGGGCGCGCGCACACAGTGGGTATTATAAACAGATGTGGAGAGAAAGGAGCTTTCATTAAACGTATCGGAGACGTCGGTGATTTATCGCCTCGTGAGACACTCCATTCACAGGGTGCGTTTTGTTGTCTGGAGATCGATTGGGACCGAATAAAATACATTCAGCAATTGAATAGCGCGCCCCGGCGCAATGTTTCAGCGAAAGCGACACTTTTTCAGGCGGGGGAGGACTAATGGCCTCACGCGCTGCCCTCCGACTTTCAATAAACGGTCGCCCGACTGCGTCGCCCGTCGACGAATCCGAATGTGGCTAATTTACACGCTCCGGAATGCTTCGCCAGAATTTACCGGCTGTGAAATTAAATCGTAAAAACCAAGCTGCACGCGTAAACCAATCTAAAGTTCGCTGGGACGGTAGCACTTCGATTGAAATGCCTCGTAAATCGGATGAATTTTGCTAGGTATGTTACAAAAATGACGCTATGGAAATAAATATTAAAGTCTCATTCATTTTTGAATATATAATTCTACCTATCTCAATTTAACAACAAAAAATATCCCCTAGTGGATGCATAAATGAATAGTACTGTAATATTTGGTTATTAAAACAGGTTTTTGGAATTGTAAACGCAACTGTTCAGTTTTTTAAATTCATCCGCATCTTTTTTGAGTCTATTTTTAACTCCACTTACTTTATTATAAATGCTTTATTATTTACTCAACCACCGATCTCTTTTTGAAATTCATCGAGTAGCATGAAATTCGACAGTAAATATTTAATATCTGTCAATATTACTGCTTTGTATGTTTTTCAACATTTAAAGGACAAAAGTTTTCAACATTGAATTTGAAACTTAACCAGAAGTTTAACTTAAGGTGTACACACAGTTTCGTATACAAACTCCGAGTAACCTCTTAAACCGGGTTAAAGTATTTAAGCCGGTTAGATTTATAGATTGTGGTGTCGGCACACATCCAAACGGCATCGGACGATATCGTATCGTATCTGTTTTACGTTTGCGAGTGTAGAAACGATAGAAAATGGAAAATTGGCCAGTCGATTCGACAATTGAAATATTTTGATAACTATTTGGTAGTTCATAATGAAATTAGCGTAATATGATTTTATTTTGCTGAAATAGTTGCCTACTACAACTATTGTTGTTTAATAAATAGCAGTTTCACTAGATCAATTTAAACAAACAATCTCTAAACAAATGTTGGTGTTTACAAACAAAAAAGGTACAAATAAAACGTATTTTTAAACAGTAATTTCAAGTCAAACATCAACAACTGAAAGCAAAAACATTAATTTTTGCTTTCAGTGCAAAGTTTCTTCCTTTAAAATTACAAGAGCCTTATAATGTAGAGCTTAGGTGGAAATAAATAAAATGTACTACTTAATGTACACTTTTTGTACTACTTACTATAAGTACGAGGTCAAAAAGGAAGTTACTTCGGCGCATTAGGGCTACACAAAGAACCGCCAAGTCCGTGTTTAACAGTGGAACTCGAGTATACAATAGCTACAAGCCGCTCTAAGCGTAGACTCGGTGCATATTTGTAGCTAATGCTGCAAGATAAATAGCGCAAAGTATCATAAAACTTCGTTTTCATGTAAATATACAAAGATGCAATTGCTTTACATGGTGTGTATATGGAGAAAGTGTTTAAACGAAATTGCATAAGTACCTAGTCCAATATAACAACCCTTTCGACCGCTATGGCAACTAGTCTTCGCAACCAGCCTTCTTTTTTCTAGGTGTACAAAATCAACAATCAAATCATAAAAACCATAAACATATAGCATATAGTTTATTATATGTTATGAGGTGAGGCTAACATACAGGGTGGAAACGATAAGTGATCTCACTCGATAATTTCTAAACTATACAATATATCAATAAACTAGTTACTGATCCTGAAAGTGTTTCATAAGCTCTATCAAACGGTATTAATAATAGATTACAGAATAAACTGGATCTATCCGAAAATTCAATGTTTCTAGCTTCCATACATTTGGTAAAGTCACATTATTTTAAAAACTACACATGATATCGTAAAACTGATTACTGATTCTAAAAGTGCTTCACAAGCTCTATCCAATGGTATCAATAATATGTTACAGAATAAACTGGATCTATCGAAAAATTAAATGTTTCCTTATTCCATACATTTAGTACTACCACAGTCATGACACTCATCTCTTGACAATATTAAAGCAAGTAAAACCTAAAACCAATGTTTTCCATGAATAATTTTCAATAAAAATACAATTTACGAGTTTATTTTAAGAGTTTATTATTAAATAAAAATAAATACACTTCTAATATTGTGTGTCTGGCATACATTTAGTATGGAAGCTGGAAACATTGAATTTTCAGATAGATCCAGTTTATTCTGTAACCTATTATTGGTACCGTTTGAAAGATCTCATGAAGGACTTTCAGGATCAGTAACCAGTTTTTCAATATCTTGTATAGTTTAGAAATAATCGAGTGAGATCACTTATCGTTTCCACCCTGTATACATATTAGCCTGTAAAATAATGATTGGGATTGCATTAGAGCAGATGATTTGCTCATTTTATTTGAATAGTTAAGTTCGCTTCTATCTTCAGAATGATCATCACTTCCTATCAGGTGAAATGCAGCCCAAGAGCTTGCTCGTTGTTGATTACAAAAAAGGACGATAACTACTTACATGTAAGTTCTAGTGGAATATGTTCATTTAAAAGGATTCCGTTTCCAAGCCATTGCAGTGCTGAGTTGAAGATGCAATCGCCGAATGCAGTTTAGGTGGAAAACGGATTTACAGCGATTTCGATAGAGAACAACCCTCATGGGGCTTACACAATATCTGAAATCTCCAGGATCGAAGCAAACCTAGGTAAAGACGAATGCATATCAAGCGAAACGTGGCATCTTATGGCGTTGTAATAGATGCTATTTTGCAACAAAAATGTAGTCCGATGTGCTCTCGACTGTACATATCCTATTTACCGGGAACTGGATAATAGATCTAGAGATATTCGGGACTTATTTTGTCTGCCTGCTCGTGTCAAGGAACTTCTAAGTATTTATTTATTTATTTATACTTCAATGCCAAAAATATTAACATTAGTATGTTGTAGAAGCTACCAATTAGACATAAGAACTTGATATCTTAATTATTATCCTATCATAGAACATTAATTAAGGTTCCTTCCAGTTTTAATTATTATTAATTGTAGGTATTTAATACATATTGCTACCAACCGGTCATTATGAAAATCATTAGGGGAGGCCTAATAGGTTCAGCAGTGGACGTCTTATGGCTGAAATGATGATGATTCTGATTCCTGAGAAAAGTGTTTCCCAATTCACATAAATTCAATAAAGAAAACAATATTTCCGTGCAACTTTGTATGTACGAGTATGTATACAGGAGCAAGTATTCTCCCATCGAGGTAAAGTTATATAAACGAGTATTTAAGCCACCTAGATTCAGAGGTTGCGAGTGCAGAAGGAGAGCAGGCAAACATCCAAGGAGTCTTGTTTGGCAAGCTATCTAACTAATTGGTACTTTACCAGCACTCCCCCGCTCTTTATGGGAACCACGTTTAAACATTTAAAACTTGAAAATGGAGTTTGTGCAAATAGTTTTATTTATCGCGCAAAAAAAAGTACTGGAGAACTTATCCTATCTTTTGTAGGAACTCATAAAGGATCTAAATTGCATTGGAATGTTCCAAAGAGTTCTACTTTAGTTTAGCTGATTAATGAGTTTCATTTCATGAAACTGAGGAGTCAATTTGCAGAATCACCGATGCAGTTTTTGGAGTTAAACAATGCTGCCGGAAAGAGCTTTAGGAACAATGTAATAAGGTTAAAAATAGCTTACATCTGTAAACGTGCGGGATCGTCGCTGTACGTGTGAGAAAAACATGTACATACGTTAGGGTTGTCACTCCGTGAAAAATAGCCGTCGCTGTAACCCGATGAACGACAACGCAACGAGATCGGAGCCGATTCCACTTGTTTTTTAAAGTTTTCTACACTGATGCGCAGTGACGCGGAATTATTTCGATAAATTCAGACTCTGTCTCTATCACTCAATCTAAGTGCTGAAGGAGCAAGAGAGATAGATATCTAAAGCCTATGCCGTTACATGTAAAACGTTTTAGTGAGAACCTAGATCCGATATTGTATCGGCTGTTTGTCTCGAATACCGCTCAGTTTGTTTAGGAAGTTTGTTAGTAATTGGATCAGCTTAAAGTAATAGCACTAGCGAACCAACTGTTAATATAATGTTGATAACACAAACAAAGATAGATAACCATTATAATTGCCAAGAACGTGTAGTAATTAAATGTATTATCTTATTCAGACACTCTTTACACGTATTCTTAGATCTTATATCATAGATAAGTATACGAGTATCATTTCCCTTTACAGCATTCTACGAGCATCGTAGCAACAGTAATTCTATAGCAAAGATTAATAAAGAAATCATAAAGATACTTTAATCATCATGACTCATAACTACGAAAATAATGAACTTCAACACACTTTTTATCCACACATTGAAAGTCTCTTTTCATTTCGAAAAACAACTACGCATCACACGCTACATCGATAACTCTGCTGTGTAACACTTCGCCCTGGATACCTACTTTGTTTTATTGCCACGATATAGGACTTACTAGTAAGTAAGTTAATTCGTAAGGCATGACTCACTACTAAGACCTAAACGTCATGATTCGTGGCCATGATGAACCTTCACAGACTTTTGATCCACACATTGTATGTCTCT